AAAGAACTGATAGAAGAGAATGTTAATAACTCAAGATTGAATTGTGGATCCTTGGTGCTTTATATTAGTGAAAGACTATAATAATAGTTTATCTACCTACATAATGGTAGATAGTGGGATGTGGTGGCTCAGTGGCTAAGATGCTGAGCTTGTCCATCAGAAAGGTCGGCAGTTTGGCGGTTCGAATCCCGAGCGCCGCGTAACGGAATGAGCTCCCGTTACTTGTCCCAGCTTCTGCCAACCTAGCAGTTCAAAGGAACGTAAAAATGCAAGAAGAAAAATAGGAACCACCTTTGGTGGGAAGGGAACAGCGTTCCGTGCGCCTTCGGTGTTGAGTCATGCCGGCCACATGACCACGGAGACGTCTTCGGACAGCGCTGGCTCTTCGACTTTGAAACTGAGATGAGCACCGTCAGGAACGACTGACACATATGTGCAAGGGGAACCTTTATCTTTAGATTAGAGAAAAGGACTAGGGGTGACATGATAGCAGTCTTCCAATATACGAGGAGCAGCCACAAAGAAGAGGGGGGGTCAAGCTATTCTCCAAAGCACCTGAGGGCAGGACAAGAAACAATGGATGGAAACTAATCAAGGAGAGAAACGATCTGGAATTAAGGAGGAGCTTCCTAACAGTGAGGACAATTAATCAGTGGAACAACTCGTCTCCAGAAGTTGTGGGTGCTCCATCAGTGGAGGCTTTTAAGAAGAGAGGGCTGATTGATGTACATCGTGTGTATATGCATTATTTTATTTTCAATTGTAAGCTGCCTGGTGTTTGATAATGAGGGAGGAGGCCAGACACGTGTTTTTAAATAAAAAACATCATATCGGCACATGCCGGCGGTTTATTCTTCCTGTTTATTTGGGAGATACATCACGAATTCCGTCTGCTTTTTTCCCTCCACTCAAGTCAGTCACGCGAACCGTGATTGAAGAGATCCATTTTCTCGATACGGATCAAAAGAGACCCGAAGACGGGGGGGGGGAGACAATGAGCAGGAGGTGGTAATGCCTCCCGAGGATGGGGCTGCTGGGCATGATGGGTGTGGGAATCCGAGAAACCCAGATGTCACAACTGGCGGGGGTGGCCGACGTCTAGATTCCAAAATGGGTATCAAGGGATGTGATGGAGGACTTTCAGTGCAGACTACCTGGCAAGGAAGGTCGACTGGTCCCTGCCACGTTGCCATGGCATCGAGGGATGCGGTGGTTCTTTCATCTCAAGTGCCCATTAATAAGAACTGCATCCATTTAATTCCTGGGATGACTCATGGGCCTTTTTCTCCTTCCCCTCTCCAGGCCATTCAGGGCCCTCACTTGTGCCTTTGGGGTGAGGCTGTGGGAGTGCCCCCCCCCCACTCCCAAATGTGCCTTCAGAAAGAGGAAGAAGCAAGCTGGCCCTCCCTTTGGGATTAGAGAATGCAGGTAGCCATTCTCCAGGTGATGTTCCTTGCCTTAGCAAGGTTAAAATGAGTGGACTTCGACTCCCAGAATTCCACAGGCAGCATGCTTTCAAATGGGTGGACCTTCACTTCCAGAATTCCCCACCAGCAGGCTTTAAGATGGGTGGACTTCAACTCCCAGAATTCCCCAGCCAGCAGGCTTTAAGATGGGTGGACTTCAACTCCCAGAATTCCCCAGGAAATGCTTTTCAACCTCAGCCACGTTAAGATACGCGGACTTCAACTCCCAGAATTCACATTACTCTGACAGACAAAAACGAATAACTGGCTTAATTCAGGACAGTTCATTTGCTCCCATGAGAGCGACTGGGGGAATTCTGGGAGTTGAAGTCCACGCCTCTGAAAATGGCGACGGTTAGAAAACATAGCTGTACAGTGTGTTTTTTTGGGAAGAAGAGAGGGGGTTGTCTGTGCACATCAAACCTCAAAGGGTTCGAAATGTATATAATATGGAAAATACCGTCTCTGTGTGGAGCCCGAGAGAGGCCATCGATTAAGATCTAATGGGAAAGAAAGAGAAGAAAAGAGAGAATTGGATGCCAAAAATTGGAAATTACCCCCTTTTGACATGACCTTCTCTCGAACGTGGCAAGAGGCCTAATCTTTTTTCCCCATCAAATGCCAGCCATTGTCTGCTCCCAACGAAGAAGGCTGCAATTTCCCGGCTATTCTGAATAACTACCCAATTCTCCGGCGTAAATGGACTTCGGCGGTGGTGCTTAAAGCAATCGTCGGAGAACAATTTTAAGCCATAATCTAAGGATTTATTGGCACAGGATAGAAAGAGGGTGGGGGTGGGGGGCATGGGGGGCT